TATAAATGAAAGCTTTCAAAGTATGATAGAAATTACAATAACCATGCCACTGTGTTGTAACCTGTCAATATTCTTGATAAGGATGTCAAGAGTGTTAAGAAAATTACACCACGGTGTAGACGAACAGTGACGTCGTATGACAGTTTTAAAGATAACCGTCCCACTTAAGACATGCATCAATGAGGAACAGCTTCTGTGAACCGAATTTTTTTTTTTTTAAATCAGCAAAAAGGTGAAACTTAAAGAAAATCCTTGGTTAGTGAGGATCCATTATGTTGACGCATACCTGTCAGCTCAGCAAGTGTATCAGTGGAGTAGGAAGGTTCAAAATGGCGTTACTTTTTTGACAGAGTGGGTAGGCCGCTGAGTATGCCTGTCGCCACTTTCCTCAACGTGCTTTGTGAATCTGTCCCCAGAATGTTAGGCAAGGAAAACGGGACTCCCCATTAATTTGTCAGATAGCTAAGCTGTTGACCAGAGCCCAACTCGCTAGCGTAGTTGGCTTAACCTGACTTGGCGACGACCGGGTGACGAACTTCTTGTAGTTCAGGTCCATGCCTGGGTGTAGGCAGAAAAGCCACATTTCTCCCAGATTTACGGGATTTTTTATGGAACAAGGCCAAAGGGTGCGAATCCTATACCAACCAAAATATGGTTTTGGATATTTAAAAAAAAAAAAAAGCTGTTGACCCGTGACTATGTACAGACGTCCGCTTTTGAAGTTTGTGTTTATACATATAATTTGTGTTGAAATATATTATTAGATTGTTTTTATCCTCATTCATCACAATGGGCTTTTCGTCGTCGTTAATGTTATTATTATTATAAAGCTTTCAAACAAGGCTTGGGCATTTCGAACTCCCAATCCCCCTAGATGTTGCTGTTTGCGTTCACCGACTATAAACTTCGGTGGAAAGATCTGGTTGTTCGTCCATTTCTGGACTTTGGCTTTGTTCCAGGGCCTGAGTTTTGCGTGTGCATCTGTTTCACAGATCTACTATATTATGCAGATTGGGTTCCTTGCCCCTCAGGGGAAAACTCCACTTCAAAAAAACCCCCCCCCCCCCCCCAGTAAGTTGACTCTTACGAAATTCTTCTTGGGGAAACAGTGGGTCTATTCTTGTTTTTCCCACAATAGGGCTCCAGAACCCACACGGGCAATCTCCACAGCATTTTGTGACAGGACTGGGAGCCCTTGCCACCCCCTCCTCCTTTTTTTTTTACTTTTTCAATGTTTACTTTGTTTCGACGCCTCTGGTGAAGATGACCCTGTCCTGTACAATGACAGCTTAATGTGGTTGTTTCGGCAGGTAAAAGTCCTCTCTGTGGGGGTCAATAACCCCTGTTTTGTGGCCAAGGCCGTGGAGCGGGCGGTCAAGATGACCTCAGGGTGAGTCTCCCTTCCTTTGTGTCGTCAGCAGTTTTCAGATTTCATAGCCAAATATTCGTTCTTCCTTCGTTAAAATGTAAGGTTTTAAAAAATCGGGGACGAAAACGGGGGGTTTTTTATTTCCCTCCGAAATATTACACCCTTTTGAATATTTATTCTTGTAACTCACTGATTTTAAAAAAAAGCAGGGTCCCAAAACCCGGGAAAAAGCACAGAGTAGGCTTTTTAAAATGGGCCAGCTAAATTTTAAAAAGTAGCTGGAAAACCCCGTGAGGAAACAATACGACATTTTGCACATGGCCTTAGATTTACCATGCCCTTATAATTTATAATTGAAAGTTCCACAGCTGCTGCTGTTTTCTTAAAGAGGCTGATATCTTTGATTTGGGGGGGGGGGGGGTGGGGGGGGGGGGGGTTAATAATTTGTGTAATCCTAAAATTAGAATATACAACGCACGCCTGGATATTGTTTGGAAATCCGTTCACACGTGCAGCGATGCACTGTGATTTTTTAAAATTGCAATCATGCATACAACGCAATATCCTTAACTAATGCTGAAGATGACCACTGGAGAGTGGAACGCCTATGAAACATGCACAGTTTGATGTGAAAAGTTCTCGTTACACGGTTAACTGTAAGCACTCTTAGCAGGTCTCACGTATCGTTAAACACACAGTTGTATGATGTTTATCTATTACTATGTCTTCAGCTGTTGATTGTCTTCAAAATGTCTTGGTACAGGCGTGAAAAGAAGATCAAGAAAGCAAGAAGAAAGAAGAAGAAGAAGAAGAAAGAAGAAGAAGAAGAAGAAGAAGAAGAACGAGAAGGAAGAAGAAGAAGATAGAAGAAGAAGAAAGAAGACAAGAAGAAGAAGAAGAGAAGAAGGAGAAGAAGAAGAAGAAGTGAAGAAGAAGAAGCGGAAAAAAGAAGAAGAAAAAGAAGAAGAAGATAATGAAGAAGAAGAACTAAAGAAGACAAGAACGAAGAAGAAGTAAAAGAAGACAGAAGAAGAAGAAGAAGAAGAAGAAGAAGAAGAAGACAGAAGAAGAAGAAGAAGAAGAAGAAGAAGAAGAAGAAGAAGAAGAAGAAGAAGAAGAAGAAGAAGAAGAAGAAGAAGAAGAAGAAGAAGAAGAAAAAGAAGAAGAAGAAGAATCAGCAGCAACAGCAGCAGCAGAAGAAGAAAAACAAGAACAAGAAGAGCAAGAAGGAGAAGAGGAAAAAGACTTTTGTCTATAAGTAGCATCATTTGCCTATGCTAATTGCTCTATTCAAAATTTAATGGAGGCTTAACTGTGAATTGAACATTGGTAGAAAATATCGAGGCCGACTGCTACTGCTATATAATGATGTTTGCAAATTGGACATGAATGATATACGTATTGAGGTGGACTCTTTGGAACAAAATGCCAGGGACAGTGTGGTGCGGAAGGGGGCACACCAAGAAGGGAATGAGAGTAAAGAAAGACATGACAGCAGAAAGCATGATAGCTGAGCGTCTGAGAAGAAACACATTAAATATAGATGTTGACAACAGTGGTCCTGAAATCTGATGCTATAATTGTGAAAGAATTTAGTTAACGCGGGCGGGTCTTTCTAGTCACTCTCTCAATCGCCTTGAGTCCCATGCCTCCTAATGGCAGAATATGACCCTATCGTCTGGAAAGACGGAAAGGTGCCGATATGCAGTGTACCATTGTCTTTTTGTGTCCCATGTTGACGAAAGACAATCTAGCTGCAACGTTTGTTTGTTATTTCTAACTGTGTCAATCTGGCTACTTCTGCTTCTAGTTTAATCTGACGTGTTTTCATGAAATGAAAAACTGCTTCTGCCTTTTGCAGATTCAGTGATGGTATAATAGACAGGGCGGTCATCAACATGGACTCGCTGTGTAACATCCAACAGAAGATCAACGAGACGGAGGACCACATTGTTCTGGCTGTCAACGTCTTCTTGGTGAATCATCCTGAGTTTACTTCCAGTAAGAAACATCACAACAGCATCGCTATCTTCAATGTCGCATTCGTTCAATTATTATTACCTCCAGTGTGAAACACCACATCATCTTTTACTATCTTCACTGTCGCATTCATTCAATCATTATTACTTCCAGTAAGAAACATCACATCAGCATCGCTATCTTCACTGTCGCATTCGTTCTATCATCATAATCATCATCGCCCATACCACATTTTATTATCGTAATTATCATCATCATCGTCGTCACTATCGTCACTCTATTGCACCGTTATACTTCCTACACGGCGTGTAGTCTATTTCTCGTTCCCAATTTATCCTGTGCAATCATTTCAAAATAATAAATGGAATGCAATCAAATTCTACCCCATCCCCCCCCCCCCCCACTCCACCCACCCACCACACCTACTAAATCTTTTCAACGGTTGTTTCAGCCTTTTGGTGCTGTTACTATTTGTTAATGTCCTGTTTTCCTTCAGGTTTTCAAATTGATTTTGCAATTACAAATTATTTTCAAATACTCCCCCTCAGGCAAAACCACATTGAATGACATACCCTCTTTTTTACGACTCAGCAGATCCGTTACAGAACATCGCAGTTGTCAAGGCACACATGAAATTCCTTCTTTCTCTAGCAAATTATCCAGCCCAATATGCTTTTAGCCAGCTTTGTTTAATGTCTTGTATCCACATTCGCAAAAGTCTGCCTCTGTCTCATTTCTGGACACTGTTCTCTTCACCATCGCTCTCTCTCAGACCAAGAGCATGACATACCACTTTCATAGGAGTCATATTTATGGCAGGTGACACCAGGGAAGTAAACGTCTGCAAGGTTAAAGTATTCAATCTCATGTTCTCATATCATATTTATGGCAGGTGGCACCAGGGAAGTAAACGTCTGCAAGGTTAAAGTATTCAATCTCATGTTCTCATATCATGTTTATGGCAGGTGGCGCCAGGGAATTAAACGTCTGCAAGGTTAAAGTATTTAACTTTATGTTGTCATATCATATTTATGGCAGGTGGCGCCAGGGAAGTAAACCTCTGTAAGGTTAAAGTATTTAACTTAAAGTATTTAATTTTATGTTGTCATATTTATGACAGGTGACACGAGGGAAGTGAACGTCTGCAAGGTTAAAGTATTTAATCTCATGTTGTCATATCATATTTATGGCAGATGGCACCAGGGAAGTAAACCTCTGTAAGGTTAAAGCGTTTATTTTCATTATGTCATATCATATTTATGGCAGAGGACACCAAGGAAGTAAACGTCTGTTAGGTTAAAGTATTTAATGTAATGTTGTCATATCATATTTATGGCAGGTGACGCCAGGAAAGTAGACGTCTGTTAGGTTAAAGCATCCAATTTCATGTTGTCATATCATATTTATGGCAGGTGACGCCAGGGAAGTAAACGTCTGTTAGGTTAAAGCATCCAATTTCATGTTGTCATATCATATTTATGGCAGGTGACGCCAGGGAAGTAAACGTCTGCAAGGTTAAATTATCTTATCTCATGTTGTCATATCATATTTATAGCAGGTGACGCCAGGGAAATAACAGTCTGTAAGGTTAACCTATTTAATGCCATGTTGCCATGTGTTATAATTATAGACTATTATTATTGAACTTCAGCGCCGACCACAGAGATCAGCGCGGGCATATCTTATGGGTTCTCAGCTAACAGTGACACACAGGTGGCGAAGCAGTCGTTGACGGCAAATGGCCAGGCAGGCAGCGCATTTCTGGTAAGATACTTCTTGTTCGTTTGGCTTTGGATAGAGATTTTTTAGGTTACTTCCCGTATAATTTCCTGTCGACATATGGGTGGGGTATGAGGGTCGTTGGCGGGAGGCGGGGGTGGGGTATGAGGGTCGTTGGCGGGAGGCGGGGGTGGGGTATGAGGGTCGTTGGTGGGAGGCGGGGTTGGGGAAGGGGAGTAGACCCACTGTCCCACTAACACGTATCTCATAATTCTAATTAAATCGGTTGGATCTAAAGGCGAAAATATCGTAGACTTGTTGTCAACCACTACACAACGTATCAAATACCCTGTTAAGGCCTAATGTAGAAGAATAAAAAATACGACTATGAACTTAAATGGCTTGTTTTACAATAGTGACACACGTCTGCATTTTGAAATGGATTATAACCAACATTCACTCACATACTAACGTATACACAGATATACTCTCTTACACACACACTCACCCCTATGTATTTTATTACTCATATACTCACTCACTCCCATCCAGACATGCTATCATTCCCATATTCATTTTTCTCTCTCCTCCTCCCCCCCCCCTCATTTTCTGTCTTGTTCTCACCGTTACCAACCCTCCCCACTCCCACTGTCATGCATGCACTAGAACAGTCAACGAGTATATCTCATTGGTACATTTCTATCTTTCCTGGCCAAAGTTCTGTTATACTGAACTATAGAAAGGTATTGGAATCGCGGCCCATGGCGATGACAAGTGTCAATCTCAAGACCCGGTCAAGACCACTAACGGCCAGGGGCTGCGTAAGCGTAGTGGATAGGAGACTCGCTTTCAAATCCAGCTGCCACTCGCTGCAGCCCACGGTCGGTGTTCGAAACCGGGCAGTTCCAGGGGTTCACACAGCCTCTAGGAAATGGGTACCAGAGTTGACACTGGAGTAAATGCAGGAACGTCGCTGTAGCTACGGAGTTACGAGCGGACGGAGACACAGGCGGACCATTTCTCATCAGCTGTCCGTATGGTGGCAGAGCACTTATGGTTTATAACCGTGTGCAAGGACGCTGGTTCACATCTACTTTACCTTTACCATTTACCACTCACGGCCTGGGTAACAGATCCTCATATTGCCTAAAGCCAAGGAAGTACAGTAGAACCTCGCTTAACGAGCACCTCGCATAACGAGTAATTCGCATAACGAGCAAAACAAATTGTAAAAAAAATGACTTGCTTAACGAGCGACGTTTCGCATAACGAGTGGCGAGAAAAGAAGAAGTCCCGGATTGTGCGCATGTTACATCAGTCTGTGTTTAGCACTTGTTCCAGTAGCATATTAGTGTCGCTTGTGATCACACATTTTCTAAAACTTGTGTTATATTGTGATAAATGTACATGAATCATCCAGGCCTACAAGATGATCTGTCTGAAGAACTTAAGTTCATCAAGATCCAGTTTCTGCCTCACAACACCACACCGTAACTCCAGCCCATAGACCAGCAAGTTATTTCTAACTTAAAGAAGCTCTAAACTAAAGTACTCTTCGAGCATTGTTTTCAGGTGACTGAAGGAACCAACCTCACTCTCAAAGAGTTTTGGAAAAATCACTTCCACATCATTGCCTGCCTCAAGATGATCGTCAAGGCGGGGGAGGGGGTTACCAAGAGAACCCTAACTACTGCTTGGAAGAAGCTTTGGCCGGAGAGCTTTGTTGATTTGTGACTTTGAGAGGTTCGAGACAGTACATGTGGAACCTGTAGTCAACGAGATTTTGTCTTTGGCCACTATCATGGGATTGCAGGTGGATAACAGTGATATCAAAGAGCTTGTGGAAGAGCACAGCCAAGAGCTGACCACCGAAGAGCCTATAGAGTTGCATTGTGTTTCACAGCAAGACGTTTTGGAGAAAAGTTTGTCAGAGGAGGAGGAGGTAACAAAAAAGCAACAATCTTCTGGCGAAAAAAAGAGAAATGCTGAAAGCATGGCAAACTGTTGCATCTTACATTAAGAAGCCTCACCCTAAAAAGGAAGTAGCTATGCGCGCTGCAAATTTATTTAATTATAATGCTGTGTCGCATTTTCGCCAAATTTTGAATCGTCGGCAAAAATAAATGTCTCTGGACATCTTTCTAGTAACAACAACAACAACAACAACAACAACAACAACAACAACAACAACAACAACAACAACAACAACAACAAAAATAATTATCTATGTATCATAATTATTTCTACTTTTTTTTCTTCCGGAAATCAATTTCGTTCCGCGTTTGAAGAAAAGATGAAGATGATTCACTCTCCTTAACAATATGCATACAATTTTCTTTGAATAAACGTTATACATAGCATTTTGTGAGTATTTTTTCGACATGGAACGCATTATCGTATTTTACATTAATTTATATGAGAAAAATTGTTTCGCATAACGAGTGTTTCGCTTAACGAGTATGATTCTGGAACGAATTATGCTCGTTAAGCGAGGTTCCACTGTATTGCAGAGACCGTGCAACATAGGCCCTCGCTTTGTGTAATTTAAGAAATTGAATGCTGTAATATAAAAGTCAAAATTTTACTGGGTGAAGAATGTTACATGCAATTTATCTTCACCAGTTGAAGTGATACGAGTTTTTAGGTGCTATATATATATATGTGTGTGTTTGTTTGTGTGTGTGTGTGTTTGTGTGTGTGTGTTTGTGTGTGTGTGTTTGTGTTTGTGTGTGTGTGGGTGTGTTTGTGTGTGTGTGTGTGTTTGTGTGTGTGTTTGTGTGTGTGTGTGTGTGTGTGTGTGTGTGTGTGAAAGTCGCTTAAAATTAAATAGCGAGATAAGATCCCAAATACTGAGGTTCTCGATAGGGAAAACCTGCCTAGCATCCACACGATACTGAAGAACTATCAGCTGCGTTGGGCTGGTCACCTAGCTCGCATGCCAGACGATCGCCTCCCAGAGTATTTTATGACAAGCTTCAGTAAGGGAAGAGGTCCCAGGGAGGACAGAAAAAGCGCTATAAGGACACTCTGAAGACTGCTCTCAGTTGTGTTGGCATCAACACAGCGAAGTGGGAGGCTGCTGCACAAGACCGTTCTTGATGGCATACGTCCCTCAGGCATGGTGCCAGGCAGCATAGGTTGCACAGGCAGAGGAGAGAAACAGAGGCAGACTAGAAAGAAGCGTATCTCTAATCCCACACCTGCTGCAGCTTCCATCTGTTGTCTGCACTGCTCAAGAACTTTCCAGGCACATATTGGACTAATCAGCCACCTTCTTACTCATAATCATTGATCGTTACTACTGTGAATGAAGAATGGTCTTCATCACTGGCGATGGACGAACAACAACATAATAATATAATATAATATAACATAATATAAAATAATACGAGAGTCGCCATGGCGTAGCGGCTAGACGCTCGCGTGCTGATCGGAAGGACGTGGGTTCGCTTCCTGGCAGAGCCGAATTTTTTTTTTTCAAAACTGACCTTCACTCCCAGCCTTAAGTGGGTACCAGGTGCAGTCCCGGGACGTAAAGGCGGTCGGCGTGATGCTGACCACATCAACCATCTCGGACGATTGTTCTTTAAACATATAGGTCTAGCCCTGTGTGCCCTATTCGCATAAAGGCGTGGAAAAGGCCCCCTTACTTTTATAATATCATGTAATGTAATTAATATAATGTTATATGATATGGTATGGTATGGTGTGGAATGGAATGATATGATTTAATATAAAATAGGGAGAAAAGGACAATCACAGGTAAAAACCGTTATAAAACAAAGAAGGCCGCTATGGTGGGCGTATCCCGAGAAGAAAAAAGCAGAGAGTCACTAAATAGGCACTGGAATGAGAAAAAATAAAGCGGATGAGAAAGCCAGGTTTCTAAAAGACACCCTAAAACAACACTGTTGAGACAAGCCACAGGTGCATGACTTGATCCCACCCATGATACTGACGGGATTGCACATAGGATAGAACGGAGCGGAAACAGAATTTGAGACTGATGTGAACTTATAGGGATAACTATGACAATGATGATGATGTATTTAGTGGTGATGACGGAGATGACGGTATTAACGAGGATGTTTATGATGATAATTCTTCTTGTTTTTTGGGGGCTTGTTTTTAAATGAAAATTAAAAGAAATCACCCGTAAACAGGATGTGTTTACAGGTAATATTACTGTGGTTTTTCTCGTCGCGCTGTCCAGAGCACACCGCCTCCTCTCCTGAAGATTGTGGACAACAATGCTCTCATGGCCAAGATTCCCAACGGATTCCCTGTCAAATTTCTAGTTCGCATCAAGCTGTCCCCCAACGATTACACGCCCTTGTCTCTGAATGTTTCCACTGGTGTAAGTATTATCATGCTATGACAATATTTTTACTGATGAAGGGTTTCTAACAGCAACGTTTGTGTTGTCACTCACAATTGTGTTCTCATTAAGTTGTCAAGTTCGGATTTGGATAAACATCAGTTGTTTGTACATTTTTTTTAATCATAAAAGAAAACACATTTGACATTATTCTCAATGTTTAGTTTGATTTGATTTGATTTGAATCAAGAACCGACATCACAACACTTGGGGCATTCCCATAAGCGCTCAGTCCTCATCTTCAGCAGCCAGCGAAGAGTTCCGATATTAATGGTGCCAGTAGCATTCTGATTAATGTTTAGTTTTTAACCTACTAAAAACAATGATAGAAAGTGGTCATAGGGAAGCGGCTAGCCGCGGGTTCGCTCCCTAAAGGAGCCGGACTTTTTTCAAAAATGACCTTGGCTCTCAGGTCGACCCAGCCTTGAGTGGGTACCGGGTGCAGTCCCGGGAAGTAGAGCTGACCACATCACCCATCTTGTGCCGATTGGTCTATAAAAAATAGGTCTAGCCCTATATGCCCTATACGCCTAAAGGCGTGGAAAAGGGTGCCTTACTTTACTTTACTATGAACAAGGATGGGAAGTCGCCGTGGTGCAGCGGCTAGACATTCGCCTGCGGATCTGAAAATCGTGAGTTCGGATCCTCACAGAACCAGACTTAAAAGAAATGATGACTCCCAGTTGTCCCAGCCTTGATTGGCGACCAGGTGCAGTCCTGGGAAGTAAAGGCGGCCGGCGTGACGTTGACCACATCACTCACCCAGCACCGACTGGGCTATAAAATATATGTCTAGCTCAATCTGTCTAATTCCCCGTGTGGGTTCCGGGGCCCCATCGTGGGGGAAAACAAGAATAAACCCCCTGCCTACCCACAAGCATGTCGTAAGAGTCGACTAATTGGGGAGCTTCCTTTGAAGTCAGAGTGCATTTGCCAGAGAGGCAAGGAACCAACAGTCTGCATTCAAGTGAATCAGATCTGTAAAACTGAGATTCTGGAGCGGGACTGCAGTCCATGAGTGGACGAACAACCAGAACTTTCCGTCAGAGTCTACAGCTGGTGAACGCGAAGAAGAAGAAGAATATGTCCAATGCGCCAAAGGGGAAAAGGGGGGGGGTGGGGGGGGGGAGGTCCTTTAGTTATCGTTACTTATGAACAAGGATGCCGTAGTCATGAATGATTCTGTCGTAGAAGATCAGACGTTAAACCTCGGACAACAGCGAAACGATCCAAGATTTGTGGGCAAGCTGCGCATTTTAACAATCTCTTCACGGTGAGAGACAGAAAATTTGGTCGAAGTCCAGAATTAGAACAATTCATTATAGCATGCGAGGTTAGCAAGGAGACAGTGGGGGTAAGAGAGAGGGATGAAAAAAATAAGAAAGAAAGAAAGCAAACAAAAATAACAAGGAATTAAAAAGCAAATAAGAAAGAAAGAAAGAAACTTGATTATGGCACCTTAATTTGGGTCTCTGCTAATGTAGTTGTGTTCGTGCACTGTGCTGGGATTCTTATTGCATTTTTGAAAAAGGAATCGTTTCGATTAAACCCATTTCAACAATCAATACTCGGAGAAAAAGTTTGAAGGCAATATTATCAGACTACTGATAGCACCAACTGTATTGGGACTCACACCTGAAGTTGTGGACTGAGCGTTTACGGAAATGCCTCCAATGTGGTGATATCGGATTTTACTTCTTGTCTTTACGGGACAAAAATCGTCAATTTCAACCATCATCCCCAAGGGGAGAGCTTTTAGTTATAATAGTGGCCAGGTTATGTGTGCAATATAAAATGGCTTAGCATTTCTTGTCATCATGTAGTCATGGAAAGCATTCTTGCAGTGTTGACGGGATCAGAGAAGACGAACATAAGTACTGTCCAGACCAGCGATGAAGTCGTCTACCGGCTAGCCAATGAGTGACCAGATAGCCAATTGATTTTAACTCAAATCAGGAAGCTGTTGTGGTGTAGCGACTAGACCGTCGTCTGCGGATCCGAAGGTCGTGGGTTCAAATCAGTATGGAGCCGGAATTGTTCCCAACCTAACATTGGCTACCAGGTAAACCCAGCCTTACATGGGTGCCTGGTCAACCCAGCCTTACATGGGTGCCAGTTCAACCCAGCCTTACATGGGTGCCAGGTCAACCTAGCCTTACATGGCTGCCAGGTCAACCCAGCCTTACATGGGTGCCAGTTTAACCCAGCCTTACATGGGTGCCAGGTCAACCTAGCCTTACATGGGTGCCTGGTCAACCCAGCCTTACATGGGTGCCAGTTCAACCCAGCCTTACATGGGTGCCAGTTCAACCCAGCCTTACATGGGTGCCAGGTCAACCCAGCCTTACATGGGTGCCAGTTCAACCCAGCCTTACATGGGTACCAGGTTAACCCAGCCTTACATGGGTACCAGGTTAACCCAGCCTTACATGGGTACTAAGTCAACCCAGCCTTACATGGGTACCAGGTCAACCCAGCCTTACATGGGTGCCAGGTTGACCCAGTCTTACATGGGTACTAGGTAAACCCAGCCTTACATGGCTGCCAGGTCGACCCAGCCTTACATTGGTGCCTGGTCAACCCAGCCTTACATGGGTGCCAGTTCAACCCAGCCTTACATGGGTGCCAGTTCAACCCAGCCTTACATGGCTGCCTGGTCGACCCAGCCTTACATGTGTGCCTGGTCAACCCAGCCTTACATGGGTGCCTGGTCGACCCAGCCATACATGGGTACTAGGTCAACCCAGCCTTACATGGGTGCCTGGTCGACCCAGCCTTACATGGGTACTAGGTCAGCCCAGCCTTACATGGGAACCAGGTTGACCCAGCCTTACATGGCTGCCAGGTCAACCCAGCCTTACATGGGTGCCAGGTCGACCCAGCCTTACATGGGTGCCAGGTCGACCCAGCCTTACATGGGTGCCAGGTTGACCTAGCCTTACATGGGTACCAGGTTGACCCAGCCTTACATGGGTACCAAGTCAATTCCTGTGAGGTCAAGAAAAACAAATATGAATCAAGTATCATATCCCCGATGCCCCACAAACGTGGATCCTTTAGTTTTACATCTTAACTCAATTTCCATTTCAGGACAACGGTAAAAAATATATAATTTTAGCTACGCCGTACTATACAAAGCATACATGGACAGAGAAAAAGGACGTAGAGCACGGGGTAGACCAAGAACAAGATGGAAGGATAACATCAGAGAAACTCTACAACAGCACGATGTGCCTATGGTCGAGGCAGCCAGAAGAGCTAGAAACAGAACCTTATATCTCCCTCGACACCCACAGCGGTAAAAGAGGAAGTGAAGAAGAAGAGGAAGAAGCTCCCTCTTTGGGGACGCTTGTTGAACGTAACGATTTTGTGTGTGCTCAAAATCAAATCAGATCCAACAGCTACCACCGTTATCATCAACATCTGCACCACCTTAACTATCATCATAATAAGCTTACTAGACTGGTATGGTTGTCAGTTGTCTCAATATCCTGCCGTCTCTAAGAGCGTGTATCGATTCTTGAGCTGACAACTGTCTATGTCATGACAACATCTTGTCTCCGTGTTTGTCGCTATCTGCGGAGAAATAGCGCACATTGAGAAGTAATAATCCAGAAGGAGGAGAAAAAAGTGTAAGGAAGGGCGCAAGGGAAAATAGGTGCATTGGAGGTAATGCTGTCAGTGATTTGTAGCTGTCGTACAAAACTATGCCAGGTATTTAACCCACGCAAAAAAATTATGAGATTGGTTCTACAATGTTCTGTAAAAAGGTAAAGTCGGGAGATGTGAACCAGCGTCATCGCAGACGTTTATAAACCATAAATGCCCGGCCACCAGTACGGACAGCTGATAAGAAACTGTCCGCATGTGTCGCCGTCCGCACGTAACCCCGTAGATACAGCGACGTTTCCCCATTTACCCCAGAGTGTTAACTCTGGTACCCATTACCTAGAGGCTGGGTAAACCCCGAGAATCGCCTGGTTTCGAACACCGACCGTTGGCTGCAGCGAGTCGCAGCTGGATTTAAAAGCGATTCGCAACTGCTTTAACTTTAATCCTATATACCCAATACGCTTGATGGTGTGAAAAGGGGTATTTACATTCATTATTTAAATATTTATTATTTCCTTTGATGATTTATTAAATATTCCTTGATTCGTCCTTGATTCATCCTTGATTCATCCTTGATTCATCCTTCATTCATCCTTTATTCCTCCTCCATTCATCGTTCATTCATGGTTTATTTATGGTTCATTCATCCTTCATTCATCCTTTATTTATCCTTTATTCATGCTTCATTCATCCTTCATTCATCCTTCATTCATCCTTCATTCATGGTTCATTCATCCTTCATTCATGCTTCATTCATCCTTCATTCATCTTTCATTCATCCTTCATTCATCCTTCATTCATGGTTCATTCATGCTTCATTCATCCTTCATTCATGCTTCATTCATCCTTCATTCATGCTTCATTCATGCTTCATTCATCCTTCATTCACCCTTCATTCATGGTTCATTCATCCTTCATTCATGGTTTATTCATCCTTCATTCATCATTCATTCATCCTTCATTCATCACTTGTGTGGACTTATCGCGGCAGGTACCGAACCACTGGTCACCGATGATAACTTTGACAGCAACACGATTGAGCTGGAGGTTGTGGCTAAGATGTCAATCGACCCCGCCTTGGCTCCCGAGGGGTCGAGCCACACCCTTACATTCACCCTCAATTACAACCAAGGCTACAACACTCAGATGTCTGCAACAGCGACAGTGATCGCAACTATCGACACCTCCGTAGTGAAATCTTCCCTGGTAAGTCAATTTTGTTTCATCCACGGCCCCGTTGTCAGGCGGTTTTTTTTTTAGGGGGGGGGGGGGGGGGGGAGTAGATCATAATAAGTGTGTCGAAGCAGTCCACTGACTGGGGAGATCCTACGACGTTGAAGTGCATCTGACTGAGAGGCAATGAACCA